TTAGGAGTGCGAAAAAAAATTCCCCCAACCAGGATTCAAACTCGGAACCTTCTGCTGTCTGCAGATTCCTAAAACAACTGGGCTATTGAGGCTTTCGTTGGAAGTTTAAATCCGATTGGTGACAATTCATTTTGCACTCTACGGTATGCCAATACAACTCCAACGATCCTTGAAGGTTCCTGAAATATTCATCCCAATTTTTAACAATGATAATTTTTTAGAACAGTGCGAATGAGTGGGTTTATATTAATAGGTGGGTATCTTAATCATAGACTACAACATCACAAATTGTTATTGTTTTTTTTTATATATATTTCACTTGTGATTATTCTTCTAGCATCTGGAACAGAAGGCGAGATAATTGTGAAGGAAGCCACAACTGATGAACTCTTTGTGGCATTCCTTGGCTACCAAAATGTGGCAAATTATGAAATCGTTATCGAGACAATGGTGAATGTAGTAGATACTGTCCAAATTAATTCAACATTATCTTCGTTTACTTATCGCTTTGATAATCTGACTGCTGGATCTACGTACACAATCAAGTTGACAGGTAGAGGATTCGAGAATGAGGCAGAGATAAGTACTGGTAGGTTCATCAATTAAAAGGTTAATGGTTACATGCATTTATAATATTTTTTTTTGTATATTTGAGTATGGTAATGGTACTTAAAATCATAGATTCTTTGGTTCAAATCCTGCAAAAGCCAGGGTTTGTCTCATGACTAAAAATAAAACCTCCAAAAGCCCTGACCAGATTTTAAGCCCATATATAGTCATAATGTACCTATAAATGGTAATGATATGATATCATCATGACCATATTTAGGCATGTCACATGTTTTTGTCGAACAAAATTTGATACTCTTGACAGGGCTGTAGAGCTGGAAATGTTTGATCAGACTATATCTGATATTGTTTGTTTAAACATATCTGATCAAATAGATAATGTGCCTTTCCATGTCTCTAGGAAGTATGGCATAGCTCGTAAAAGATTAGGGAGATTTCAACTAAGTAAGATCTTAAATGAAATGACGTCATGTTAAACCTAATGCACGTACTGAATTTTAATTGTCGTCTGAATCTAGGACGCAGTGGGGATGCAGTGTGGACTGAGTCTACACTGTGTAGAGAATACAAAATGGTCATGGATAAGTTGCATATTGTTTTGGGTCTACCAGATTAATGTATGTACATGGTTTAAGCTTCATATGAAAAATTTACAGAGCTAATTTGTGCTGGTACTTGAAATTTCAATAATATATTTTCTTTTCGTTATCTACACTGATAATAATTTGCACTGTAATTAAATGTATATTTTATCGATTCATTTTTAGTTTCCTTACCACCAACTAACCTCTCAGTAGAGGGAACACCAAGCGGTGGGGTCACTTTATCTTGGCTTGCTGCATCTGGAGCTGAACGTTACGAAATCTTCTACAGTTTCCAAGCTTTGGTAATTAATCGAATACAAGCTCCCACAGTGTCTTCCCTGACAACCACAATATCCACTCTTTACCCTGGTGTAGAATACACATTTGAAGTTATAGCGGTCATAGGACAAGGAGAAAACATTAGGAAAAGTGAAGCGGTTACAGTTAAAGCTACTACAGGTAGGCCGAAGAAACTAAACAAAGTTGAATGTATACCTCAACTAAGCAGATATTTTTTGGCTATTTCCTTTATTCAATTTTTTTTTTCTTAACTATTTCCTATGTTTTTGCACAGGGTTTTTCTACCCTCTACTATGTTCACTTTTATGAGTTTAGATCTTCTTCAAACTTGGTCAAAGCAAATACAGTATAACAGAGATGTGCATAGTAAAAATGTTTTGTGTTTAAATGTGATTTTATGCAAATTGTGGCGATTTTCGTTTGGTGCAAGGAAAATTTACTGTGATGTGCATAAACAGTCTTCACCCTCAAACTACACACTTAATGTAAGTTTGTCTTTGTGACAGAATACAAACATAATACTGGAAATCTCCGGATTTTACAGGTTCGATTCTAAAGCACAATGGTTGGAACTCTCTACTTTAAGTTTTTCAGTATTATTGCGGCTCAATTTTGGGTCTCTTTTAACTTCATAATTTCAAATATTATTTCTCATTATTTCAATGAGGAAAACAAATGTGTATATAGTTTTTAATCAGTTCATAGGCAGATTCGAAGGGGGTCAAAACCTGAGTCCCCAGTTTTTGAAAATTTAAAAACAAATGGGGAAAAAGCTAACATTAAAATTTAAGCCTGAGAGTGCAAATTAAAGCAATTTAGAAGTGCCATACATATACAATTTTGTACCTCAGCCCCAACCATGGTGGGGCTGTAGAGGGAAAAGCCAACTACTAGAGAAACAAGCATTTACAAACTTCTAACTTCTGTCTATAATGTAAACTATGATGTAATGTTGCAAAACATTAATGTACATAAAAATTATGTACACATAATAATCATATAGCTTTATAGTGAATATATATATTTTAAAATTCTACAGAAGTGCCCAGAGTGATTGGTACAGCCTCCACAGATACAACAATAAATGCCACATGGTTTATGAATGAAAATGCTCAGAATTACAGCGTGTATTATTCACCTAGTGATGGAGACCAGGCCAGTCCATTTGTTACCGAGGCAAATAGCACCACATTGTCTGGATTGACACCAGGGGAAAAATACCAAGTGGGAGTAGCAGCAAACTTCGCTAATGGAACAGTACAGATCCTGTCTCTTATACACATCTAGATGTGTATAAGAGACAGGCTCTCAACGAATGTTGTCCTATAAATAGGTAAATACATTGTGTAATAAAATGCCTCTGACGGGACTCGGATTTACATAAGTGTCAGGTATACTTCATTACACAACGGGCATTAAGGTACGGCTGGAAATAAATAATAACATATAATATATATCAAGATAGCCGTTAACACTGTTAAATTGTATAAATCATCAAAGGTAAATACAGTGTTTGAATAAAGGACATGATGATACATTATGTAGCATAGCTCTCAACGAATGTTGTCCTATAAATAAATGAATAAATACTTTGTATAATAGAATTCCTCCACCAGGATTCGAACCTGGGCCTCTCTCTGTCAAGGTGAGCGTCATAACCATTAGATCATACAGGGCTTCATGGTTGACCAGATTTACATAACTATTAGGTACACTCCATTAAAGTACGGCTGGAAGTAAATAATAACACGCATTGTGTAATGGGAATTCAAAAAGAATTTGAATCAAAGTAAACAATAGAATACACTTGATTTTGAGTACATTGACAACGCCTAGATAGTATAATACATACTCCAAGTATAGAAATGCACGCCATCATGTCGGGATTCAATATTTCGAACACTAATTATGTCATCATCACCGCCTTTTAATCAACTTGGCTGCCATTTTTAGGCTGTCTTGTGGTTGTTTTTCAAAGTTCAAATTAGGTTCCATACAACATAAACAAAATTGATACATATAAATGTAAATATAAATATGAATATAAATATAAAAACAAAAAGTTGCATGGAAGGAGGCTATAATAAGTGAACTACAGAACTTTAATATATAGCCACCTTTACAGAGTTGAAAAAATAGAACCATTAAGACCATAAGGAGAACAAATTACAAGATGCTATTTCAGTAAGTTACTGAAACAAAAATAAAAAACAAGCAATATTTGCCAGGTTTGTACATTATAATTTTGAAGTAATTTAGTTAACACTAAGTATATGTGACCACATATCGGATTTGGGAAAAAAAAGTGACAAGTGTTTAGGTGTTTAGACATGCAGAGATTAGAGACTTTTTGAAATTATATTTGAAGCTATTAAAAGTGTATTTATTTTTGGTATTATCAGAAAGCTTAGCCCATAATTTTGGTCCAAAATAAAAAATGGAATGTCTTCTAGCATGGGATAGACAAACAGTAGTAGACGTGTAATTAGTAGACGTGTAAAAAAACGTCATCACTATAATAGTGATGACGTTCAGATGCCTTAATGCAAAGATTGGTGATGTGGGGTGGTAAGGTAAAACAATCGTTCCATGGATACGTAGGAACACTGTGACTACTGCCGTTAGTTGGTAAAAGTTTACCATTTTGAAATGGCCAATAATATACCTGTCAATTATTGCAAAACTATTTTATTTTATTATTTTTAATTAATATTATTAATGATCATTCGAGAAATGAGGCATGCAATTTCTTGAGAGAAGAAAACAGAAAAATAGGAGTCATGGGATAGAAACTCATCATTTGTTTTACGTCTGAGGTTTTTTAAAAAAGCTGAGTTCTGCACAACAGGGAGACCACCACAGGCAGATTACAACTGGTTTGATCGGTGTTAAATGTGTGAACATTTATTAAGTAACTATATTGATGCCTACCTGCCGCGAACAGCTCCACCAAGAGATGGATACATGCACCTAATAAGATGATATTATTATTATTATTATTATTATTATTATTATTAAATGTTTTCTTAATATTAAAAATGTATTAATTGAGTGATTATAAAGTAATAATGATTATTATCTTATACAGCTCCTTTACCACCTGAAGATGTTGTTGTAACAAAAGATATAGACAGCTTGACGTTGACCTGGGCAGCACCAAAGATTGGATTTTTCAGCAGCTTTGAAATTCAATATTTGTATTTTGTATCTACTTCTCAAAGCGAGATTTATTATTTAACGTTTAATGAAGATGTACAGACGGCAACAGTCACTGACCTTATACAAGGCGCAATATATTTCTGGTCTATTTATACTACATCTGGTTCATCTAATGAGTTTACGATCAGTGATGCTGTAAATGGCAATCTTACTTTCGGTAAGTTATTCATAATATTTCAATAATAATAATAATATTTATTTGATATTTCACTTGTCAATCTTAAACTAATGAATGAAGAGGAAAGCAGCAACTTAAATCTAGACAAATATAATAACTCAGCTAAAAGGAAAATACAATTTTGAGTTGGAAATTAATCATAATCACCCCCCCCCCCACTCCACCCCAAAACCACATAATTATTTTTAAACTGAAGGTAAGTTTGGCTGTATTATACATGAGTTTACACAGACCAGTACGGTCACAAAGCAAGACCTTACACTGTTTGACATTCAGCAAGAAGGTGAAAAAAAGCAGATGCAGACATAAACTTTCTTAAAAGTATGTATATACATACATATATTTCCAATCTGCAGAGAGTACTGTTTTGATCTTTTTAGATCTCATCAGTGCAGCTCAGGATTTCAATAATGAAACACACTTGGGTCAGCCCTATGTGACGTGGTACATCATACATATATATAGGTATACATATACACACACACACACACACACACAAAGCAGGGTGGATAATCTATATTTCCATTAGCCAGTGTTGGTGCCAATAGAGGTGTGGGGGGGTGTATTTTGGGCTTAATCAAGACAAATCAGTTTTTTGTTTTTTAGGTAACTTTCTTAGGGCGTTATTGGTTTTATTATATAATTTACATCGTACTGATGATATTTATAAAGATTTTAGTATCATTGTATAAAGCAGGGTGGATGGCCTATATTTTTATTGGTCGGTGCTTCAAGTTAGTGGAGCCAGCGGAGGTGCGGGTGTCTTTTGGGCTTGGGCGAGTCAAACAAGTTTTTTTTTTGTCCCATTGCTGGACAGGATTAATTTATGATTTATCTACTTTGGCTAATGAAAGCTGTAGGGTCACTGCTGAATAAATTCATCTAAACGATATCTTTACATTTTATAATAAGATGAGCAGATTTTTATAGAAAGAATTTGAATCAAAGTAAACAATAAAATACACTTGTAAAAGCTTTCTGTAATGTAGGCCTGCTTACGTACATTACGTCATTCCTGTAAATAGTTACAGAAGTAACAGAAAAAGGATAGTGTTTTTTTTTTTAATTTAATTTTTTTTTTCTTTTGAGGTGAGTTGTTGCTTTAAACCTTGTCAATGTTGTAGAATTTT